AAAAAAAAAAAAATTGAATCGAATTGTTAATTGCAGTCGATCGACCATAAATTCAAACATGGAATGATTAATCATGATTATTAATCTATAGACGAGCCACGAATTCCACGTTTGGATAGATATACTGATACAACAACGTCTGTCTAATTTCGAGTGGCAGAACTTCATTTAGGTTATCTTTAAAATCTATTTTTTTTGAAACACCAAACGTCAAATAATATATCAAACAAACGATTCCCATTGTAATAAATGTGTCTGCAACAAAGTCGACGTTTTTCCCAGTCTCTGTGAGAGTCTGCCGGTCAGAAATATATTTATACGGAGAGAATTCGAGCGGTGAAATTTTTGGTGAAAAGGTCAAAAACCTGTCTCTCTTTTTCTCCACATTCCGCTTCGCGTTCGTTTCTCTTCAAATATCTACCCTTCTTTTTATAGTACGTTACTCATAAAAAAAAAAAAAAAAATGAATGAAGCCGAAGTGAAATATTTAAAAAGCGTGGAAAAAAGGAAATGAAAATTCCGCGAAGATATACATGCGAAAACACTGGCTGATCCCCTGTCATTCGCTAATAAATGACGTTACATCCGTGATGACTATCATGACTGGATTGTGTGTAACTGCGGAACTAGCTCGAGGCTAGTTGAAGTAATGGCTCGCCCTGAAAAGCGACGACTCGTCTCAGAAACGAATTCGTTTCCTTTTCCTCTTTCGTTTACTCGGAGGTTCATTTTGGTGGCAACGGTCGATAGGTAGTTGAACAAAGGAAAATTCTCATTTCCACCGGCGTGCGATTGCGTTTTACATTGATATTCGATTGCAAAGATGACTTTCACATCTTTCGTGTCTTTGATGTATACAGGGTATCCCGAATTTTAAACGGTTTTTGCAAAATTTTCCATTACAACATATAGACAGTGCATTTTTCCAGGTGTGCCAACACCTTCGTATTATTAATCATAGTAATACAATGAAAAATAATTTTCAACTCCATCGAGCTTGATATCCGTGAATAATATTACAGAATTGACGACACTACGGTTTCAATAAAATTACGCTTTCAATTCTTTGCGAAGTCTGAATTGAATGCTTCTGTTGAATAAATCACTTTTACTTAATGAAATTACTCTCGCTCTCGAACGTACTCCTTGAAAGTAAAAATCAAATGGTAAAGAAAAATGCGTAGCTATCTATTTCGTACGTGCAACATTTGTTTCTAACTCTGGGACAAGACGTTCCAGAAGTCTTCAAACTTTGTACGACATTTTCTTCTCTTTTTGATCAAGCCCTCGCAGTTTTTTTTAAGCAAGTTTATCAAAAAATAAAATGGAGCTCACACAGCCAAAGAAACTGTATGCAAGTATTTCAAATAGAATTTATTGAACAATCGTCATCGGCGTAAACGAATAACTCTGACGATGGAGAACTTTCTCTGCACGAGAGAGATATATTATATTTCACGTTTATTAAAGTGAGAAAGTTTACCAACAGTTTATTCTGCGAAACGTAAATTGCAATTGTAATTTCGACTTTGGTTTTTCGTTGGATTTTCCCACGAGGCAGGCTGGAAATCAATTACAACAAAATCAATAACACCATCACCTTCGCACGTTGATCTCATTTCCGGTATTACGTGGACTTGGATCGACGAAATAAACTAGCATATTTCATTCGAGTTTTGTAAAAATGACATATCAGAGGATTCGTCGTACCTAACCTAAACGTAACCTAATTTAGAGGCCTTAAAGGTTACCAGATGCAATAAAGGTTGCATCTTTATTCGGGATCTGTAAGCCTAACCTAACTAAACCTAACCTAAACCTAACCTAATTTAGAGGCCTTAGAGGTTACCAGATGCAATAAAGGTTGCATCTTTATTCGAGATCTGTAAGGAATAATTTACCATCATACTCAATGTACTCAATTAAACGAAATTATATTATAGTTATTTCTTAGCTGACACCACGTAGTGAAGCAAATTTGGAGGAAGATGCTATCTTTAAATAAACTTGAATGAATAATTAGTTTCTGTACTACAGTTTTTAAAAAAGTCGAACGTTAGTCGAAGCTTCGACAGATCCTGTGTATCTTCCCAAGAGAAGCTGTACGAATAAATAATATAATAATAAATATATTATAAAATAGTAATAATATAAGAATAAAAAATATACACTATTCATAAGAGGAAGTAACTAATTTTAAAAGGAAACGAAGAACGTCGAATGGACTTGGACCAAGAGAACACGCAATTTAATATCCTTTCTCCTTGCTCTCCGAGTCGCTTAACAGCTGTTTATAGATCCGAAATTTGTTCGACAATGAGTACAAATTTGCAAGTATCTCGCTTATAATTTAATTCTTAATAGCTGGGATATCTCTCTCTCTCTCTCTCTCTCATTTTTCTTCTCAATTTTACTGTCAAATAGCAGAAAAGTTTCGCGCAAAAAAGAGTTCATTTAGGAAGAGAAACTAATCTTCGACCTATATATACGGCGATGTCCACACTAAAACGCGCGACACCTTTTAACCTGGATACGGTATAACGTGAAATTTTCACTCACAATAGAAACTGTGTGTACGCAGAGCGTCCGGTGGAAAATTTCCACGCGCGGCAAAGAAGAAAAAAAGAAGAAACGAAAAGAGAAAAACCAAGAGAAATATTATTGCATAGAGAGAAAACTTCCCGCGGGAAATCCTATTGCGAGCAGCCCGACACGACTTGGTGACACGAGCACGACGACGAACCTTTCGCGAACGTTTATATTCCGTGGACGCGACGCGAATTAAAGAACAAAGGGGGATAAGAAACGCGTGGGGAAAGCAACTCCCACGAAAAGAGAACAGCCTTGCTTCGTCCGAGTGTTTCCTTTCGAAAAAAGAAAAGAAGAAGATACAGGGGATTAATTCATTTGCAACGACGGTGTCAAAGAACAACCAAGCGCGGCATCGCGTCGATTGTTGTTCTGTTAATAAAAAGAATTAAGTGGAAAACGGTTCACCATCTCTCGCTGCAAAAAAGCACGGAAGCCGGGGCCAAAGGAGAACCGTGGGATGAAATTTGGTAGTAGAATTTGCAATAAGGGGCGGCGTGAACCCTTTGAGGCACGAGCTCGACGAACTGCAACGTCGACAACTCGCGGAAAGTGGCTTGCAAGATCTCGCGGCCGCATTAAACGAGTTGGTGTTTGATCGTGGACGCTTTAATCTCGCGAACGAAATAATCGAGCCGCGCTGCGCGTCCCGAGGAACCAATGGAGAATCGTCCCGCGTACTCGCGAGAAAACGATCTTCTGGATCTCGAAAATTTGTCGAGCGCGTAGTTTAGATCGAAAAAATGATGTATTAAAATTTCGATCAAATAGTAATATAGTAATAGCTCCAGCTAATGCAGATAATGATAAAATTAATAAGATAACAGTAATTGAAACTGATCGTGGAAATAAATTAATTTGATCGTAATTTGAAGAGAAACTTTTTATGAAATTTAATGATCCTATAATAAATTGATGAAATTCCAGTTATGTGAATAGAAGAAAATAGTAAAATCTAATCTAGATGGAGGAGAATAGATATAAATATAATGATAAAGGAGGATATACAGTTCGTTCAGTTCCTGAATTGGGTAAAAATAAATTATTTAATGATAATAATAATAATGACGGAGGTAATAATCGAAATAATCTAATATTATTTGTTCGTGGGAATGCTACATCTGGTGATCCTAGTATCAATGGAACTAAAAAATTTCCAAATCCACCGATTATAAAAGGTATAACTATAAAAAAAAAAATTATTAAAAATGCATGTTTTTTTTATCAGTTGTAACCTGTGAGAATATTAAAACAACTTTTATAGTGAAGCAATACGTCGATTAGAAAAATATATTTATATTAATTTAAAAAATATGAAATTTTTTAATGAGAACACTGAGCTTGTTTTTTTTTTTTTAAGGTGGTGGCAATAAGAAAGGTATTTTCAAGATGCTCGTCTAAAATTTCTATTCTTATTTTTTGTGTGCTTATTTGTTTTTCGTTTTTATCTTTTGTGTACTACACATGGGGCAAAGTCTGATCGCAAATATAAGTATTCTCCAAAACGGAGATCATGAACATTTGTGGTCAAAATTATTCAAATAATAAAATTCTTATAAGGATATGAAAAATTATAATAAAAAACAAAATATATTAAAAAATAAAAAGAGATTTTACAGCGCAGACTTTCACGGTGAGATCTTATTACGCGACTCTTATTACTCCCGTTGTTATTAGAATTTTAATTTAAAAGATTATTATTATTATTATTAGAATTTAGCTCCTTCGGCCTTTTGCAGGTTTTTTGTATGGCATAGTGCCACAGTATTTGGATTGCTCGGGCGAAATTGTTATAAATAAATAAAGAAAGAAAGAAAGAAATCGCACATAACAGCGTGAAAACGCGATTCATTAACGTAGAAATAAAACAGTGCTGCTTGGCATTCTTTGCAATTAATATTCAATAATTTTTTCTGCTGGATTAAACTGAATATTCCATCATCATGAATATTCAAACTTGAATGCGAAGATAAAGAAATATCGCGATCTGTGAATCGAATTTAAAAGTTTCATTCGACAAGTCGAAAATAATACTTTCAAGTATAACGACGAATGCAGGAAGCGGAGATCTTTAACAGCGAGAAGAAAATCTTGTAACAAAAGCAAATACTCATTACTCTCATATTTCCCTCAGAGAATATCAAAGTTGAAAACGTAGTAATTTGTTCTCAAGTGTGCAAAGGAACAATCGTGGCAACCGATGGTGTGCGTTTGAAACAAACAATGCAGAGAATACAATAGAAATAATTTACAAAAAAAAATATATATATATATATATACAGAGAGGCGTGTCGGTGATTCTTGAAAAATTCTAGCTCGACGATGCTACGCCATCAACAATTATATTTGCATTGCTAATGAATTTTCATCATCTTCCGTTCGTAGAAATGGCGAACCGCGAGGGACGTTTCGTTTCGGCGTGGTATTTTCTATTTTGTCCAACGTATTCTCAGACCGCGTTCACTCGACACAGAGAGAAAGTTGCCGGGGTAAAGAAAGAGAGAGACGATAATTGCACGAAACTGGGCCAGGGAATCGATTTCCTCTCTCGCGAAAATGAAGAAATCTTTCTTATTACCATTTCTCTTATTACCCCGCAGCTTAAATTCGAGCTGTCCTCTCTTTCGCTCGGCTCTCTCACCCGCCAAGGGGTTAAATCAAACAGATAAATTGTATTAAACATTCAGTCGCCGCACGACCCTCTTTTATTTGATCCGCAGCTTAATTCCTTGACAAATTTATATTTCAAACCGTGAAGTTCTGGTAAAAGGTAGACTTGTGATGTAAGTGAAAACGTCACACGTTTTTCAATTTGAAAATACAATCGTTGTTGGTCGATTACGTGAAATTGCCCTTTCCATCTTAACACGTGTTCTTCTCCAACCTCCTTCGTTAAAAATATTCCTCGTCGTGACATCGAAATATCGAGAAACGATAAACACACACTTTATATAAACAAATATTTAAGAAAGAATCTCGCGGGGGAGGGCGCGATTCATTTTGCAAATCTCAAGTTTGCTTGATCAAAAAGTAATCGCGTTTTTTTTTTTTTTTTTGTTATAGGTGAACACATACGTGTATTTTGTTAACTAACTTCATTCTAAACCGCAGATTCATCGTGCAAATTTTCCAATTGTTTCAGAAAAAGAAAATGTATGATCTCATTAACAATTGGCTCGTTTGGAGTCGATAATCAAAGAATCCATATTTTGCTAAAATCAATTGCGCAAGTTTGCTAAATTTCACTGCTGACGAGGATGTTGAATCATTCTTCGCCGAAAGAAAGATACGAACTGTTTGAATACCGAATAGACAACCAAACTCAAGTCTTCTCTTCTCTGACTAACAACCTAAAGAAACAGTTCTAAGATTAATACAATTTCTAAGGCAGTCGAACCTTTACAATAAACTGCAAGATTTAGCTCCAAGTCGCTAATAGCCCACACATGTGGTTGACACGGCTATAAATAATGAAAATAAAAAAAAAAATTTTCATTCCTCCATGAAAAATTCGCCTTTTACTTGCACATAGAAGAAACGTAGTTGATTGTTGGCCAATGGTCGAATAACATCGGGCACGATATTGGTTTCCCATTTTGCAAGAAGCTTCGAGGTCGCAATTAACCAGAATCTAGAAATTGAAATAATTAACTCGCCGTTCGGATTCCTTTCAGTGTTAATTACTCGGTTCATTAGACGTTATTTTTCAACGCGGGCGCGCGCAGTTTGGCAACGGCTTCGTTAACCGTGACGCAGCATTGTACGAAATTCATTAAGCTGTTGCCTGCACGCAGTAATTAATTAAGATAGGGCATCTATGTCGCCGGTCTGAACTGGCAGCAAAGCACCTTGGCGCGGCCTTGGCGCGAAAATAATCAAGTTACATCGGCTTCCGATGAAATTACCGTCGCTACTTGGCAAATAAATTAACTGCGCGTCGTTTGTTTGCCGCGATATACACACACCGGCGAACTTCCCTCTCGAAAGAGAAATCGTTCGGATCAATCCTGCACGTTCGATTAATCCGCGCGTCCGAATACGAGAATCCACCTGTCTCTCTCTCTCTCTCTCTCTCTTTCTCTGTGACTCTTTATTCATCTCGGTGCGATACAATTTTTCGCGATAAAGTTTTACAATGAAATCGAGAAGAACGTCGAACGACGACTTTCCTACGAGAAAGAAAGAAGGCTGCTTTTGTGAAAATGAGAAACTAGGTCTTCGAAACGACTTTCGA